CGGGAACGATCGAAAAGTCACGCCGTAGCGGGAGAACGTGCGCGTTTCGCCATTCTGCCTGAGTCGCCGATCTCGTGCCAGGGGGCGGGGCAATCGGTACAGCCCCGACAGGCTGGTCTGCCGACCTGGGAGATCCCGTCGTATAATTGGGGGATAAGCGAGACTTTGGCGAACTTCTCTCCCGGTTGTTCGTAGATTGGATAGACTTCTCGCGCTCGAATTCCGATTTCCGACGGTCGACCTCCGGACGATTATCACAACGTGCCCGCACCCCCCCATACTTCCGTCACCTATCATATTCCGGGCTTGGATTGCTCTGAGGAATTGGCACTCATCGAGCGAGGGCTCCGCGATCGTCCGGGTATCGAGGAGATAACGCCCGACTATTTGAATCGCAACCTTCGCGTCACGCTCGATCCTGAGCGGACTACCGAAGGAGATGTGGCAGATCAGCTAAAGCAGATCGGCTTCCCGCCCCAGCAGCAGAGCAATTCTGCGGACGGTGCTGAAAAAGCAACTAGCGCAATCAGCCAACATTGGACAACAGCCCTGGGTGGAGCGCTAATTTTGGCGGCCGCTGGTGCCTACATGTTCGGTGCCCCGTGGGAAGTGGTCAGCGGAACGCTCATCGTGTCGACGCTGTGTTCCGGTCTGCCCGTAGCCCGTGCTGCCTTGCGTTCGGTCCGGCTGAAGTGGCTGGACATGAACGCCCTGATGACGATCGCCGCCACGGGAGCGGTTCTCACGGGAGAAACATCCGAAGCTGCGGCTGCGATGTTCCTGTTTGGGGTTTCGATTTGGCTGGAAAGCTACAGCCTGGATCGCGCTCGCAGGGCGGTGCGAACCTTGGTCGCGCTTGAACCCACTGTGGCGCATCGCGTGCAAGGCGACACAACGGTCGACGTCGATCCCGATGTTCTGCAGATCGGCGATGAAATTCTCGTCAAACCAGGCGAGCGGTTTCCTGTGGATGGTGTGGTTGAGCGAGGAGTCTCGTCCGTTAATCAAGCGCCCATCACAGGGGAAAGCACCCCCGTGGAGAAGTCTTCCGGCGATGATGTATTTGCCGGAACGCTCAACGGCGAGGCCGCACTTCACATGCGGGCAACACGACCCGCGACCGAAAGCACGTTGGCCCACATTTCTCGCCTCGTCGAACAGGCACAGACTGATCGCTCACCAACGCAACGGTTCGTCGACAGGTTTGCTCGCCGATATACGCCGGTGGTCATCGTGCTGGCCATTCTGCTGGCTATCGTTCCGCCACTGCTTGGACAAGTAGGATTGCTCGGGTCGGGGATCGACGCTCAGTGGATTACGTGGTTGCAGCGAGGTCTCGTGCTGCTGGTCATCGCGTGCCCTTGTGCATTGGTGATCTCGACGCCTGTGACCATTGTGTGTGGCTTGCGGCAAGCAGCCCGTGCGGGATTGTTGGTCAAAGGTGGAGAGCATTTGGAGAATGCCGCCCTGATCGACGCCGTGGCAATCGACAAAACAGGCACCCTGACCGAAGGTAAGCCGAAGGTAACTCGTATCGACTCATTCGGCGGATGCACTGAAGACGACATTCTGCGGATCGCGGCCGCGCTTGAGCATCACAGCGAACATCCGCTGGCCACCGCAATTGTCACTGCGGCGGCTCAGCGTGAGCTGCAATTGCCTGCGATTTCCAACTTCGAAGCGCTCCGCGGTTATGGCGTCCGGGCCAGCATCGATGGCGTAACCTACTTCGTCGGAAATCAGCGACTGCTGGCCGAGTATGTCGACCCCCAGGCCGCCGCAGTCGCCAAAGAGATTGATGGAGCCAACACGCTGGCTTTGGTCGCCACGCAAGACGAAGTGTTAGGCGTTGTCTACCTGGCCGACACGGCTCGCGAAGATGCCGAGCAAGGGTTGCGAGGACTGCACGAGTTAGGTATTCGTCCCATCGCGATGCTCACCGGCGACCGCCAATCGGTGGCCGAGGAAATGGCAGCTAACCTTCCCATCGACGAGGTTCATGCCGAGCTGTTACCGGAGCAAAAGCTGGAACTCATCGAGAGCCTGACGGAACGTTACCAAACGCTGGCCATGGTTGGCGACGGCGTGAACGACGCTCCGGCGCTGGTGCGTGCCCACTTGGGGATCGCGCTGGGTTCGCAAGCAAGCGATACCGCGCTCGAAACGGCCGACGTCGTGGTGATGACGCCGAAACTTACTCGTCTGGTCGATCTGGTGCGAATAGGCCGCACTTGCCGACGGTTATTCCACCAGAACATCGCCCTGGCTCTGGGGATCAAACTGGTGGTGCTTATCGCTGCCGCCGCGGGTTTGGCCACCATGTGGATGGCCGTTGCCGCCGATGTGGGCGCAAGCATGATCGTCATCGCCAACGGGATGCGCATTCTCCAGCGACCCAACGACGAGTGACGGCACGCAGCGTCATCCCTTGAAAGTGTTTTCCATCAGCCTAGCGCTGATCGATCGGAACCCACTTCAATTCGGTCTCGCCGGTGTAGTTGGCCCGGGGACGAATCAGGCGGTTGTTATCCAATTGCTCGATGACGTGGGCAGCCCAACCGGTGACGCGACTCACCACGAATAGAGGAGTGTAAAGATCGACCGGCAAGCCCAGGTAGTGATACAGTCGGGCACTGGGCCAATCGAGATTCGGCGGCAGGCCCTTCTCGCCCGTGACGACATTCTCGATCGTCTCGGCCATTTGCTCCATGGCGGTGTTGCCTGTCTCTTCGGCTAACTCACCGCAAAGCGTCTTCAGCCAGCGGGCGCGGGGATCGCCTGTCTTATACACTCGGTGACCAAAGCCCATGATGCGAACCTTGTTGGCCAGGGCATCGCGTACCCACTTTTCAGCGTTCTCGGGAGAACCAACTTCCTCCAGAACCTCTTTCACCCGTTCGTTCGCCCCGCCATGCAACGGACCTTTCAGGGCACCAATCGCTCCGGTAATCGACGAATGCAGGTCGGACTTGGTTGAGCAGATCACCCGGGCGGTGAATGTCGAGGCGTTGTATTCGTGCTCGGCATACAGGATCAGCGAGACGTCCATCGCTTTGATTGAGCGTTCCGAAGGGGCTTCGCCGGAGAGCATCCACAGCAGATTGTCGGCCAATCCGCGTTTCGGGTCGGCGTCCACCGGCTCCAAGCCCTGCCGCAGGCGGTGACGGGCGGCCATGATCACTGGGAATTGAGCCAACAGACGCTCCGACTTCCGCACGTTCGCGTCGTGGCTGTTGTCGTCCACTTCCGGGTCCCAGTGAGCCACGGTGCTGGCCCCGGTGCGCATGATATCCATCATCGACGTGTTTTCGGGAACGGCTCGCAGCAGGTCGACAAGTGGACCGGGGATCTTGGCAGCCTCGGCAACACGCGAGTTGAAATCGGCCAACTGCTGTTTGTTGGGCGGAGTTCCATGCAGCAGCAGGTAGGCGACTTCTTCGAAGGTGGCGTTCTCGGCCAAGTCTTCGATCGAGTACCCGCGATACTGTAAACCGCCGGCGATGGTGCTAATGGCCGTTTCGCCTGCGACAACGCCTTCCAAGCCTGGGCTGTAGATCATTTCGCTCATGTATTGGATTCTCCGCTGAAGTAAGATCGGTCGCTCGCTTCATAGTCGGTGTAGCCGAGCAGATCGTAGAGTTCTTGACGGGTTTGCATCTGGTCGACCAACGTCGACTGCGAGCCCTGGTCACGAATTGTCCCCAGGGCGTCTTGAATCGTTTTCATTGCCAGCCGCAATAGCGTGACGGGAAACAGTGCGGCGGCGTAGCCCAACTCGCTCAGTTCGCTAAGCGGCAGCAACGGGCTTTTGCCGAACTCGGTCATGTTCGCCACCAGCGGCACCGGGACCTCGGCGGCCATGCGCTGGAATTCTTCGCGGTTGGCCAACGCTTCTGGGAAGATCCAATCGGCCCCGGCATCGACGTAACGCTTGGCTCGATCAATCGCCGCTTCGATTCCGTCGGTCCCCCGGGCATCGGTGCGAGCCAGAATCACCAGACTCGCATCGCTACGTGCTGAGGAGGCCGCCCGAATCTTGGCGATCATTTCTTCCGCCGACACAAGCGTTTTTCCTGAGAGATGTCCGCAGCGTTTGGGCAACTGCTGATCTTCCAACTGAACCGCGGCCGCCCCGGCTGATTCAAGTTCTTCCACCGTTCGGGCCACATTGATCGGCTCGCCGAAGCCGGTGTCAGCGTCGACGATAATCGGCAGCTCAGTCCTGCGGGTTAGCCGCTTCGTCTCTTCGGTCAACTCGCTGAGCGTAAACAGCCCGATATCGGGAATGGCCAGCGAAGCGGCAGTGAATGCGGCCCCCGAGAGGTAGGCTGCCTGAAAGCCCATTTGTTCGATCATTCTTCCCACCAGGGCATTGAATGCCCCGGGAACTGCAATCGTTCCTTTGCTGGCGGCATCGCGAAGCTTTTGCCCTGGGGATGGAGTCGACACTGGGTGTGCTCTCACCTATCGGCTGAATTTCGGAGGTCGAGCCTATATCCTTCGGCGACCTCTGGGGAAGATCTCGATACGAAGCTCGAATATAGGGGCTTGTTTCCCTACTTCGCAAGTACCGGGACGCTTGGGCCGGGCTTCGGGAGAACGACGGCTCGATGCTCTGGTAGCCACTGGTCGGGGCGAGTAGGCTGGCCGCGTGGATCGGGTTTTCTTTGTTTGTTTTCCTAGAAATCACATTCTCGCAAGTTCTGTTGTCTGGTTTAGGCGAACGATCGGCGGTCGAGTCTGCCCCCCAATCGCGATGGTGGGCGGTGGCCGAAGTTGCGCTCATCGTGCTGGTGTTCTATCTGCACGTACCCGGTGGCCCACCCGAGCCGAACGAGCCTGATTACCTGGGCAAGGCGAAACATTATTGGAATCCCGAATGGGGGCAGGGCGACCTGTTCCTGGAGTCGGCCGATACCCATTGGGTGTTCTATTCGCTGTTCGGCTGGGTCACGCTCTTCGTTTCGCTGGAGACGGCGGCCTGGATTGGGCGATTCGTCATGTGGATCTGTCTGGCCTGGAGTTGGCACCGGCTAAGTTCCTGTCTCGTGCCAGGACGCGGCATGGCGGTGCTAACGGCTGCCCTGTATGTCGCCTTGAACGAACGTTTTCAACTGGCGGGGGAATGGGTTGTCGAGGGGGTGGAAGCCAAGGGCTTCGCCTACGCCGGTTTATTTTTGGCGGTGGCCGCACTGGTTGAGCGGCGTTGGAACCACGCGTTGATTTGGATCGGACTGGCGACGGCCGTGCATCCGCTGGTCGGGCTATGGGGAGGAGTTTGCCTGGCTGCGAGTTGGGTTTTGGCGGGGAGAGACCGGCCAGGGATTCAGGAGCTTCTACCTGGGTTGCTGCTTGGCGGGGCGATTGGGGCGATCGGTGTGGTGCCCGCCTTGATGATGGACATGCAGGCCGACGCCTACAGTCGCAGGCTAGCGCACGCCGTGTATGTCTTCCATCGTTTGCGACACCATCTGCTGCCGGAGGCTTTCGAAACGCTGTTCGTACTCCGTCACTTCCTGTTGTTCACCGTGTGGTGCGCGGTCGCCTGGGGGACGCCGCGGACCGACGACTGGCGAAGGTTCCGCGGCTTCGTATGGGGCGCGATCATTATTGCCCTCTGCGGGTTTGCGATCGATCTAGTCACGAGATACGACAACCAACTTCGGGCCTCATTGCTCCGCTTGTACTGGTTTCGCATGACGGATGCGATTCTCCCGCTGGGCGTTGCCTTGGGAATGGTCCCGGCGGTGCGGTGCATTACCGGCGCGCGTCCCCGGTTAGGGCAAACCATCATTGCCGGGCTGTGCATTGCTGCGTCGGTACATCTGCTGGAGTACGCCGGTACCTGGCGGCAACAACCGCGGCCCCCTCGTGGTGAACGGGCGGAGAATCTTTCTGACTGGCGTGACGTTTGCGCGTGGGTTGCCGAGAATTCGCCACCAGACGCGGTGTTTATCACTCCCAGGTACAATCAAACGTTCAAGTGGCACACCGGTCGAGCAGAGGTGGCCACCTGGAAAGACTTGCCACAGGATGCAGAGAGCATGGTCCAGTGGTATCGTCGCTTGAAAGCGTTGCGTCTTACCCCGGAAGAACGCATGAACCGATTGGGACCACAAACTCTGGACTGGCTTGGTACCGAGCGACTTCAGCAGGCCGCCGATGAGTACGGTGCCGGCTATTTGTTGACCGTGAATAGCGACGAGTTGGAGTTTCCGGTTGTCTGTCAAAACGAAACGTATGCGGTGTATTTATTGACCCCAGAGAAGTAAGGTTCATGACGTGATGATCGCCCCTTGCAGAGTGAGTCTCGCGAGCTTTCTGCTCTGCGTCGCATCGTTCATCTTGGCGGACGCGATTGCGATCTCAGTTGCGGTAGAATCGACGACTTCGGGGCGCCTGCTTTTCACTTCTGCTGGACGCACGGGGATTGTTGCCTCCGATGGAGGCGGCCTACGCTGGTTGAAGTTTGACGTCCCGAACCAATCCACCTGGCAAGTGTCCCAGTACTTCTCCGATGGAGAGTTGCTGCTGTTGAGCATGGAGCCTCGTCGTGATGGACCCGGCCGTCCATTTGCCGAGTATTACACCAAGACGCCGACCCACCTCTGGCGATTCAGCCTCGATACGGAAAGTTTGGAGGAACTCGCTACCAAGGAACGGATGGCGCCTTTTTATACACCCGCTCTGCTGATCAACGATTCCAGCATGCTGGTTCAAGTGGTGAAGGATGGTGTTGGACAGATCTACCGCATGGACTTGAATGGCTCGAACGCCCGAGAGTTCACGCGGGCGGGGGAGGGGCTGCCTTACGGGTTGAGCCTTATCCCTGATGGTGAGCGTGTCGCATTTCATCTCGCCAGCCCGATGGGTTATCAGATTTGGACGAGTGATCTAGAAGGTGGCGACCGAAGGTTGATTGCCGGAGACCCTGAACATCTCTATTTCGGCCCGGTGTGGTCCCCCGACGGGGAATGGATCGCCTATCACGATTGCCATTTCCAGAGCGACCCTGGGCACGATTGGTCGGACTTGCGTATCTCGAAGCGTGATGGAAGCGAGCACCGAGAGCTCACAGACGACCAGGCCCTTTGGTTTGCCGCCACCTACGGACCGCCCGAAGCAAAGGGAGGCGGGTCGAATCTTCCAGTGTGGGCACCCGACGGGAAGCTGCTTTACTCACGCCGTACGCCTGGAGCCAAGGTCCCTTGGGAGTATCAGCCCAATCGGCCCGATACCGATCACTTCAATCGTGATTTCAAGCCGGAGGTGGCTCACGGCGGAGCATACATCGAGGAGTTCGATCCGCAGACGGGAAACTTTACTGCACTAACTTCGCCCACAGAGGGAAGGTGGGACTTTCGAGTCGTTGTCTCACCCGATGGGAAGCAGATTGCCTTCTGCCGGACCTCGACCGGAAAGGTGCCCACGCTGTGGATGATGTCTCGCGACGGCAGCAATGCTCGAGAAGTTGCGTCCGCAGGCCAAGCGGCGATCGATCACCCGCGTTGGGTGCCCGATGCAGAGCAGCCTTGAAGAGTGTGTGGGATTCGGATTGCATGAGTTAGCGTCTACAAACCGCAACCAGCACCTCTGGCTCGCGATTCTGCTCAATCGTGCAAGGCTGGTGTCGCTGAATTTTTTCCCAGGGAATGCCAAACACCTTTCGCAGTTGGTGTGCTTTCACGGCCGCGTCAGGGAGAAGCTGTCCGAGTGAGCCCAGCACTCGGGTGTAGCTGCGACGGTAGGGAGCTTGCCCTAGCATTTCCACGTTGGCGAAGCAGCGACCGAGGCACTCGCGAAGCTCGTCGGCCGTGTATTCCCGGACGTGATGGGGGTTGAACGGTTGATCGTGGATGGACTTGCCCGGGTTGGTAACCAGCCGATTGGGCGTGGTGCAGATGAGCGTTCCGTCTGGTTTGACGATGCGGGCTATTTCCCGAACGTAAGCCGTGTCGTCATCGACGTGTTCGATTGTTTCCAGCGAGACGACCACATCGTAGCTGCTGTCTTCGGCGGGAATGCCATCGGCAGGAGCTGCGTGGAACGTTAGACGTTCGTTTCCGTAGGTGCTCTGTGCGTTCGAGATAGCCACCGTGTCGAGATCGAATCCATCGACATGGGTTGCCCCGCCGGCAGCCAGGATTGCAGTTCCGTGACCTCCGCCGCAACCGACTTCTGCCACTCGTCGGTCTTTTACGAATGTGGCGGCCCAATCGTACCGGGCCTGATTTTGATAACGCAACCACGGGGGTACCCAACGACCCTCGCGAAGTTGTTCGTGCACATAGGTCATAGAGCGGTGTTCTCTGGTTGCGGGGCGTTGCCTTCTGTCGTCGAGCTTTCCACAGGAAACCAGAGTCTTAATTTTAACTCGGCCAACTCGGGAAGGAGGGGATGCTCGCCGAAGTTCCACTCCCAACCCTCGACTTGGAAATTGACAATCCGCTGGCCCGGCTCGGCCGTGGCGTTGTACCTCTCAGCGCAGATATTGAAGAACTTTTGCGCTAGGTCAATTCTGTTCTGACCTCCAATGATTGAGTTAAACCGTCGATAGCGGCTATCGCTCATTGCTCCAATGCATTCTTCGATGGGGGCGCGACTCACCTCACCATTTTCATAGATGGCCAGATACTTGAAGTAGCGGACAATCCCCTCATTTTTAGGAACGCTATACATTTGCATGGCGGTCAGTGGATAGGCCTCTACCCGATAGGCCCAAGATAGCAGCATCAGCGTAGCTAGACCGCAGGCCGTAGCTGCATAGAGCGAGTGTCCTCTTGTTGATGCAGCTTTGGGTGCGGGGACGTCGCTGACGGAGTCTTCTGTCTTCGCTGGCTCGTCCATCTGAGGAAGCGAGAGGTTAAGGAAGTCGAGGAGGATAGGGGCTGCACCAGGAACGAACATAACGGGTGAGACAATCCATCCCATCGGTGTCGAGAGGGCGAGCTTGCGAATGGCTGCCTCACCAGAATAAGTGTAATCACGGTGCACTACGGATAGCGAAGTCGTCTGTTCACCAGACGTGCTCCCCTCGTACTCTTCGAATGAAAACCGACGTAGTAGATCGAACCTTCGAAATACATCTACTGCGCTCTTTGCTGAGGGGCAGAGTTTGTCGTAGCGAAGCTGGATCGCCCCATTCCTTGCGGAAAGAACTTGTCCCAACCTGTGGGCAATCGTGGAGAAATCATAAAACACTAGCTGAATGAGAATCAGGTCGAAGAAAAGAATGTTCTGCAATAACAGAATACCTATGTGCATCCCTACCATGAGTACTGGAAGCACGTGTCTTGCGATCACTGAAAACAGCACCAACCCGAACATTAGTTCGCTCATCATGCCAACGGCCGCCAAGCCGGAAACAAACCAGTCGGGGAAGTGACGCAGCATCAAGCCCACGCCAAAGTCGAACTGCATCGGGTTCAGCGAGTCCTGGTAGATGTAGGAACGCATATTAGTCGCACTGCACCATGCGAGGCCGCCCTTGTTCAGTTTGCTAAGCCCCGCGGCTACATAAGTCAGGGCGATGACAAGCCAACACAGATAGCGTCCCCAGCCGTATGCTGCCGTTGCCCTATCGAATGGTGGAAAGGCTTTGCCCCCCGCTACCTGTCGAATCCGATCGAGCGACCAGCCGTCGCCCGAGGGAAGGAAGGAGAGCAGGATAAGCAGGTAAAGCGGAACCAAGCCTGTATGGAAAAGGGAGGTGTATTGTCGCAGGATTCCGCCAAAGATCAGGTAGCAAACTGCTGCGGTGGGAAGGCTAACCCGCGTCCAGAGCCCCACCAACGCAAAAGTCAATGCAAGGGCCGTTAGTCCCTGTAGGAGTTGGAGAACTGCGGGGTGGCGCATTAGAGGAATGGCGATCGGGGCGAGCGGACCATCGATGAAAACGGTCATCACACCCATTCTGCTTACCAATTCTCCCGGCAAGGCTGCGGTGCTCGGCAAATCTTCCCAGAGGGTATGGATCAAGGCGATCGCACACGTCAGCATCCGAATGGCCCCCAGCGTTCCAGGGGGCGCGGGCCCTACAAACCGCTTGTAGAACGCTTCGGCTTCGATTGCGCGTACCAGAAGAGCTAGACCAACGATGGCCAGCGCGCACGCCGCCACGATGACGATCGGAACCAAAATCGGGACACCGGTCAGGCTCATGAGGAGCTAGATCCTGAGAAACTGTTGGCCGAAATTACGATGTCTAATAATAATGCCAGAAAATCAGATGCCTACTTATTACCGAGCATTGATCGAACTGGCCACGAATTCAACTTTGTATCGGTACGGCCGTTGCGTTTTAGCACAGCAAGCTGTGGCCGAGGTATTGCGGATATTCAGCAGAACTTTGATGTGTAGTGACGACCCACTTATACGTTCAACGACAGCTTGACATGGATTGGGGCTGGGTCGAGAATCCGGTACGTCGTATCTTTCTTCGCCCGATCTGATTCCTTTGCATCGACAGTCTTGCATGGTTGCCACTGCCGAAGCAAAGCGATACGCCATGAAGATCGTCAGGCGACTTCGGGCCGACTATCCCGACGCACATTGCTCGTTGGACTTCAGCACACCCCTGGAATTGCTGGTTGCCACGATTCTCTCGGCCCAATGCACCGACGAACGGGTGAACAAGGTCACACCGGCGTTGTTTCGCAAATATCCCACGGCCGCCAATTATGCGAAGGCCCCCCCGGCTGAGTTGGAAAGGGCGATCCAAAGCACAGGATTCTTCCGGAATAAGGCCAAGAATATCCAGGCATGTTGTCAGGCCCTGGTCGAGGAGCACGATAGTGAAGTGCCGCAGAGTTTGGAGGCTCTGGTGAATCTGGCAGGGGTTGGACGAAAAACCGCAAACGTAGTACTGGGCACCGCGTTCGATATCGCCTCGGGCGTGGTGGTCGACACCCACGTGGGCCGAATCAGCCGCCGATTGGGCCTCACCGAGGAGAAAACGCCCGAGAAAGTCGAACGGGATTTGATGGAAGTCCTGCCGAAGAAAGAATGGGTCGTTTTCAGTCATCGACTGATTCAGCACGGCCGAAAAGTCTGCATGGCCAGAAATCCTCAATGTGAAGCGTGTTCGATGAGGAAGTTTTGCCCTAAAGTAGGTGTTTCATAGGCGGGCAGAGAGTTCTCTGGCACCAAGACGGAGCCGACCATCGTTGACTAGCCGCGGAATACTCAGATTACCGAACGCCGCAGCCGCACTTGGCGGCGGAGATCTGTCTGAACGAGCCGTCTAGCCGTAAACAAGGGATTGAATCCATGATCCTGTCCGGGCAAGAAATTCGAAAACGAATCGGGGGCGACATCGTCATCGACCCTTTTGACGAGTCGTTGCTCAACCCGAATAGCTACAACCTTTGTTTGCACCACGAGCTGATGGTGTACGAAGAAGTGGTGCTCGACATGAAGCGAGCGAATCGGGTGCGGCGGATCGAGATTCCTGACGACGGCCTGGTGCTGAGCCCGAACCAGCTCTACTTGGCACGAACGGTCGAAAGAACCGAGACCCGAAACCTAGTCCCCATGATCGAGGGCCGCTCGTCCGTCGGCCGGCTAGGGCTCTTCGTCCATGTGACCGCAGGCTTCGGCGATGTGGGGTTCAAGGGCTATTGGACCTTAGAGATGTTCGCCGTGCAGCCGGTGCGTATCTACGCCGGCGTGCCGATCTGCCAGATCTTCTATCACGAGATCAAAGGCGAGTACTGCGAGTACGCAAGCAAGTACCAGCACAACAAAGACATTCAGCCGAGCTTGCTATTTCAGGAACTCAACCCGAGCGAAGACGACGAGCAGCTCAAGCTCGACTTCGGGCTGGAACGTTCGCACCAATAGCTTGCGGCCACGTACTACATCACTGCGAAATAGTTCTCGACAGCAAAGTCGAAATTCTCTTCCGACAGCACCATGGGCAGGTTGGAATACATGCAGTGATTCTTGATCTGCAGCAGAATATCACGCGGATGGCAGCAGCGGAGCGGGCGATTTACTGCGTGGTAATGCTTTCGCAGCAGGTAATCCAGCAACTCATCTGAGTACTCGAATCCCATCTTCGGGCACATGATTCTGAACAACTCGCGGTATTCCTCTTCGCTGGGATCGCAGACGTCGATCTTGTAGGGAATACGGCGGAGGAAGGCATCGTCGACCAAGTCCTTTGGCTCGAGGTTGGTCGAGAACACGATCAATTGGTCAAACGGTACCTGCACCTTCTTACCGTTGGCCAGGTTCAGGAAGTCGTAACGCTTTTCCAGAGGAACAATCCACCGGTTGAGCAGTTCGTCGGTGGTCATCCGTTGACGACCGAAGTCGTCGATAACCAGGGTGCCGCAGTTGCTCTTAAGTTGTAGCGGGGCTTCGCTGATGCCCGTGGCGGGGCTGTTGGCCACCTCCAGGCTTTCCATCGTAAGTTCACCACCGACGATGATCGTTGGCCGGCGAATCCGGATCCAGCGTTTGTCGATTCGTCGCTTGTCGATCAGGCCGGAATGGTCGCCGAGCGGCATCTCTTCGTGATTAATCGGGTCGTAAAGACGAATGATTTCACCATCGATTCCCAGAGCACGGGGGACCCAAATGGTTTGGCCAAAGGCCAAGGTGACCCGTTCTGCGATACTCGTCTTTCCGTTACCCGGAGCGCCGTAGAGAAATAACCCGCGGCCGGAATTGATGGCGGGGCCCAGGCGGGAGAACATTCGTTGGTTGAGCAGCAGGTCTTGAAATGCCCGTTTCAGGTCTTCGGAGGTGGGGTGCTGCTCGGTTAGCGATTGAGCAGTAACGCTGGCCACATATTCGTTAATCGAGACCGGGGCGGAACCAAAATACGTACAATGGTCCCAAAGCCGTCGAGCACGCTCCCGGCCCAAGTCGGTCAGCTCGTACTCGTAGTCGTTCATCGGAGCCGTGCCACGATAGTAGACGTACTGGCTGGCTTTCATATCGCGGAGCAAATCGTCCAGCATTTTGAAGGGAAGCTGCACTTGTGCGGCCATCGCTCGGCCGGTCAGCGCCCCGCGGGCCATCAGACTTTTCAGCAGCAGCGATTCGACTTCGCTTTCCGATAATTTGGCTTCTTGGAAGGTGGTTGGTTCGATGGGATACCATTCGCCCGAGATTTGCTCTTCATCGGGAGTTTCGTTCGCCGGCGCTTCGGTCGTTGCCGCTTCTCGGCGAACAATTGTTGGGTCGCCTGTGGCGCTGGAGATCCGGTTCAGCAGATGCTCAAGGTCGGGGCCATCAGGGCTTTTCAGCGATGTGATGTCCGCCCCTCGATCGTTGTCTGCTGCCGTGTGGCCATCGTCCTCCTCAGCAGTGTGTTCCACGTCTTCGGTGGAACTTTCCGGCTCCTGGTGCGAATCGTGTTCGGGCTCTGTTGTTGAGATGTCCGACCAAGCGTTTTCCGACTCGTTGCTCGAACGGAACAGACGCGCAATCAGGTTGTCGTTAGACGTATCAGACATGGCACGCTTTCATTTCACGCAGAAAAGGGAACGACTGGCCTAATACCTTGATTCACCAACACTAATGTTGTCGCGGTCTGACAACTCCCCAGACTTTGTCGTGGAGGTGGCGGTAGAACGCCCACTTCTGAGACCGGTAGACAAGATGAGTTGGGAACCGAGAGGAGGCGGACTTACTTCAACTCTAGGTTTTGTCCAATGGGGGGGCAAAAAAGGGCAGGGAAATGGCCTCAAAGGAGAATGCCGCAAAGAGCCCCTAGGGACGACCAGACAAAAGACGCTCGATTCGCTAGAATCCGGCTAAACCGAAGCAGATGGCGTTAAGCACCATGTCTGCGGTGCGGAAAGCCCAGTTTCGGCAGCGATTCGACGGTTCTGCAATCGATTTCCTCCGCATGTCGGCCCGCGATTCGTCGCGACGCCGGGCGATTTGGAAATTTCGAGCAGCTCGCCGATTATCACGATCATTCGAATAAACAGGGCCAGGACGCCTTCGGTCCTCGCAAGAGGCGGCTCCGAAATAGTCTCCGGCACCCTTGCCCTGCCAAGCGACATCACGGCTTTAAATGCAGAAACGGGAACCAACCAATGAGCTCTGAAGGACGGAAACAGGATCCATTTAACGCCCGCGATACTCTTGACACCGACTCGGGCCCGGTTGGCATTTATCGGTTGTCGAAGCTCGAAGAGGGCGGACTCTGCCGTGTCAGCGAGTTGCCATACTGCATTCGCCTGCTGCTCGAAGCCGCTCTGCGGAGTTGCGATGGATACGAGGTGACCGAGGACGACGTTCGAAACGTGGCCGGGTGGTCGCCGACGAACCTGGAACCCATTGAGATCCCGTTCAAGCCCGCTCGCGTCGTGCTGCAGGACTTCACGGGCGTTCCCTGTGTTGTCGATTTGGCCGCCATGCGAGGTGCGATGAAGCGGCTTGGCGGTGATCCGAAAAAGATCAATCCGCTGATTCCGGTGGACCTGGTCATCGACCACTCGGTGCAAGTCGACCGATTCGGAACCGACGATGCATTGCAACTGAACGTAGAACTCGAGTTCTCACGGAACCGCGAGCGTTATGAGTTCCTGCGATGGGGCCAAGAGGCGTTCGACAATTTCCGCGTGGTTCCGCCGGCCGTCGGCATTGTGCATCAGGTAAACCTCGAATTCCTGGCCAAGGGAGTCTTTCTACGGGAAGACGCCGCTGGACCGGTGGCGGTGCCCGACACGTTGGTCGGAACCGACAGCCACACGACGATGATCAACGGTCTGGGTGTATTGGGCTGGGGCGTGGGTGGAATTGAAGCCGAAGCCGTCATGCTGGGGCAGCCCATCTACATGTTGCTTCCTGAGGTTGTCGGATTTGAACTCACCGGCGAACTGCCGCCCGGTACGACTGCGACCGACTTGGTGCTTACCGTGACCCAAGCCCTGCGAGCCCAGGGCGTGGTTGGCAAGTTTGTCGAATTCTACGGTCCGGGCCTCGCCCAGTTGCGATTGGCTGATCGCGCCACGATCAGCAATATGGCTCCCGAGTATGGAGCCACGATGGGCTTCTTCCCGGTGGACGATGAAACGCTTCGATACCTTCGCACCACGGGCCGCACGGCGGCCGAAGTCGACCTGGTCGCGAAATACACGAAGGAGCAGGGGTTGTTCCACAACCCAGGCGATGAAACGCCGAAGTACACCAAGACCCTGTCGCTGGACATGGGCACCGTCGAGAGCAGCTTGGCGGGCCCCAAGCGACCGCAAGATCGCGTGCCGCTCTCTGAGATGAAACAGCAGTTCGAGCACTCGCTGACCGCACCGATTAGCGAACGTGGCTTTGCGCTCGATAGCGAGGCCCTGACCCGAACTGCCACCGTCGAGCAGAATGGTCAATCGACTTCGATCGGTCACGGGGCTGTGGTTATCGCGGCAATTACCAGTTGCACGAACACGAGCAACCCCTCAGTGATGATCGGTGCCGGCTTGCTGGCTAAGAAGGCGGTCGAAAAGGGGCTGAAGGTCCCATCATACGTGAAGACGAGCCTGGCCCCGGGGTCGCGCGTGGTGACTGATTACCTGGAGAAGGCGGGACTCGACGACGCGTTGGACCAACTCGGCTTTCAGACCGTCGGCTTCGGCTGCACCACTTGCATTGGCAACAGTGGTCCGGTGCCCGAACCGGTGGCCGAGGCGATCAACAGCGGCGATCTGGTGGCTTCGGCTGTGCTGAGCGGAAACCGCAATTTCGAAGGCCGCGTGAATCCCGTGGTGAAGGCGAACTACCTGGCCAGTCCTCCGCTGGTGGTGGCTTACGCCCTGGCCGGCACGACCGACCTGGACTTAAAGACCGAACCGCTCGGCAAGGGCACTGGTGGCGAGGATGTGTACCTCAAGGACATCTGGCCAACCAAAGAAGAAGTCGACGAGGCCATCGAGCAGTCGGTTAAACCGGAGATGTTTGCTTCGCAGTACTCGAACGTGTTCGCGTCTAACGAGAAGTGGAACGCGATTCAAATTACCAGCAGCGATCTATACGCTTGGGATGAGTCCAGTACCTACATTCAAGAGCCGCCGTTCTTGGTGGACATCGACCGTGAGCCCGGCGACATTCAGCCAATCGCTGAGGCGCGTGTGCTCATTGCCTTGGGCGATTCGGTGACGACCGACCATATTTCGCCCGCGGGTGCCATCGCCAAAGATGGACCGGCCGGTCGGTACTTGATGAAACACGGCGTCGAGCAGCGTGACTTCAACAGCTTCGGCTCGCGTCGAGGAAACGACCGCGTGATGACACGCGGCACGTTCGCCAACATCCGCATTCGCAACCAACTAGCCCCCGGCACCGAAGGCGGTGTGACTCGTCATCTTCCCGATGGCGAACCAATGTCGGTCTACGATGCCGCGATGAAGTACAAGGAAGAAGGCGTTCCGTTGATTGTGCTCGCCGGGGCCGAGTACGGTACCGGAAGTAGCCGCGACTGGGCGGCCAAGGGCACTTACCTCCTTGGCGTTCGTGCGGTGATCGCCGCCAGCTACGAACGTATTCACCGGAGCAATCTGGTGGGGATGGGAGTGCTGCCACTGGAACTGCCATCAGGCAAGACTTGGCAGTCGCTGGGGTTGACCGGCGAAGAGGTCTTTACGATTCACGGCCTCGACGATTCGCTGAAACCGCGAAGCGTTCTGAAGGTCGAGGCAAAGGCCGCCGACGGCAAGACCACCAAGTTCGAGACCACCGTCCGAATCGATACACCGGTCGAACTCGACTACTACCGCAACGGAGGAATTCTGCAGGCCGTTCTGCGGAAGATCCTCAAGACAGGTTAGTCGCAGGGCGTCACCGCCCAACGCTCCATCGCCTGATTCGGGCATCTGCAAGGCAGGTCGCTCGCTCTGCGTAAATCGCGGCAGGCGACGCTGCGCAGATTTTGATGGCGCGCAAGTGTACCAAGCTGTTGCGTCTGGCTACTCCAGGCGAGCGCTGAAAGCTTAAGAGCGGTGGGCCAGTTCTTGGCCGAGCATCACGAAGTGATCTTTGAAGTGCGTTACGGCTTCGGTCGGGTTCAGATCGAAGACTGTGCGGCCGTAAGTGTTCCATTGCCCATGGTCGAAGTGGAACACGGCGGTTGCAGCCCGAAGGTTAGTGACCGCTCCCATTTCATCGATGGTATCGATGTGCGAATCGTACGCAATTGTCACCGCCACGAAGGCGCATAGCTTGCGTGTGCGACGATCTCGGGCGTAAGTGACATCGTCGGCGAAGTCGCAATCTTCCCAACGCAATCGGGGTGCCCGACCAGAAGCGGCGGCGAGCTGCAAGAAACGCGCCTCGAGGCGTTCACGTTGCTTGTGGAACTCTCGCCTGGCGTGAGAGAAACGTGACTCACGAAACGAAACGAGCGTCGGTCGCCAAATCACGGCACCGATACCCGTGGCAACCGCCGCAAATAGCATGATGACCCACTGTGTGTTGGTCATGCTGGTCGCGCTCCGATCACGTTTCCTGTTGGTTTCTGGAATGCTTCTCGCGCAAATCTGTTTGGTGATCTTCGCTTTGAAAAGTCGCGGTGGACTTCTGCTAAGCCGTCCCCAGATGCCGGGGTTTTCACCGGACCCGATTCTAGCCCGTGGCTTACTAGGGAAGCAAGCAGATTGGTGGCCAAACGGGCTGGAGCCCGCCCCGGATGCGTCAGGGGCGGGTTTTCGCCCCCTTGGCAATCCCACGTCGGGGTGGATAGGCTGTCGCCATGGCTTTGCTCGGTGCGCACATGTCGATCGCGGGGGGGTACTACAGGGCGGTGGAAATCGCTCACGATTGCGGCTGCGATTGCGTGCAACTTTTCACAAAGAATAACAATCAGTGGCGCGCCAAGCCCATCACCGAGGCAGAAGCCGAGCGGTTCAAGGCCACGCTTGCAGAACTTGGCATCTCGAACCCAATTTCCCACGATTCCTACCTCATCAACCTGGGATCGCCCGAGAAGGAACTGTGGACGAAGAGCATCGATGCCCTGGTTGTAGAACTGCAACGGGCCGATCAACTCGGTATCCCCTTTGTGGTGGCCCATCCTGGGGCGTTTACCACGAGCAGCGAGGAGCAGGGACTCCGCCGTATTGCCAAGGGGCTCGATGAGGTGCATCGCCAATGCCCAAAGGTTGCGGCGCAAGTTCTTCTGGAAACCACCGCGGGGCAGGGGAGCAACCTCGGCTGGCGGTTCGAGCATCTGGCCGAGATTCTCAGTCTGGTAAAAGATCCGGATCGGGTAGGCGTCTGTGTCGACACCTGTCACATCTTTGCTGCGGGGTACCCCATGGAGACCCGGGCCGAATACTTGGCCACAATCCGGGGGATGAATCAGACGTTCGGACTCGACAAGATTAAGGCCTTTCACCTAAACGACAGCAAACGCGAACTCGGCTCGCGAGTCGACCGGCACGAGCACATCGGGCGTGGACACTTGGGGCTGGAGCCCTTTCGGCACCTGATGAACGATCGCCGCTTTAAGAAAATCCCGATGTATCTTGAAACTCCCAAGGGCGAGGAAAACGGCGAGCCGCTGGATGTGATCAACCTGAGAACCTTGAGAGATCTCATCGAGAAGCCGGCCAAAAAGAAGAAAAAGTCGCCTCCACGAAAGCGTTAACTCTCGTGTCAGCCGAGATGTAGGGGTCGGCGCGACCCTCTTGAGCAGAATGATTTGGTCCCTTTGAATGGGCTTCGTTATGCATGCTGTGCCGAATGTGTCGGCGCCGGGCAAAATGGGGTCGGCAGATGCTTTCCCGTGCCGATGTAGCCAATTGCGTCTCTGAAATACGCGTGAGATTTGACCCACGAACACGGGGCGCGATAAATTTATGGGACTAGGAAGACCTGCATGGTGCGGGACGACTGCCGTCCCGGGGCGTTTCTGACTGCTTCGCGAAAAGGCTAGACCGCGATGGGGCTGAAATACTTCAAACGCTTCCGGATGGAAATCGATCTGGTGGCCGCCCAGCTTGATCACCACCCCTTGCCGGTGGAGTATTGTCTGGTTCCGTGGGACCCGACGTTGCTGAGCGTGCACGCGGAAACCAAGTACGAGAGTTTCCGGACCGAAATCGATGCGTATGTGTTTCCCTGCCTAGGCGACCATCAAGGTTGCCAGCGATTGATGCAGGAAATCGCGCACAAAGATGGCTTTCTTCCGGAAGCCACTTGGCTCATCGCCCATTGCCCCGGACCAGGCGAGGCCGTGGAGTATTGTGGCACTGTTCAGGGAATCTACGATCGCTCGCGGATCGGGGCCATCCAGAATCTGGGCATCACCCCCATGCATCGCGGACGAGGACTGGGAACCGCACTGCTTATCTCCGCCCTGCAGGGTTTTCGCAGTGTGGGGCTCAAACGGGCCTTTCTCGAGGTGACGGCCCAAAACTCGGGCGCCATTCGGCTCTATCACCGAATGGGCTTCAACTCAGTCCGCACGGTGTATAAAGCGGCCGACGTGTCCGCGGTGAATTCTCTGGCACCCGGCTCGGTTTAGAGCACGCGTGAAAACTCATTTTTGAGCTCTCTCATACCTTCGCTGCTGCGCAGTACCCCTGCAATCAGTCCGGCCGCTGTGTACACTGCTCATGCGATGGCAACTTACCCTGTGCAGGCAACGGGCTTGGCGGGGTGGATTTGTTCTCAGGATGGTAATTCAGAATGATCTCGATGCGTGCGAGTTGGATAGCAGTTGTTGCGGTTTGCTTGTGTCTCTCGGGAAGGACGCGGGCACTTTGCGAAGATGCTGCTCCCGAGTTCCAGGGCTATCAGGCAACCGAATGCGAAGGCTTCTATCCCGGCCATTTGCAGGGAATCGCAGTTGACGGGCAGGGCCACATCTTCTGGTCGTTCACCACCAAGCTAGTGAGCACAGATGCCGAGGGTCAGATTCTCAAGGTGATCGATGTGCCGAATCATCACGGCGACCTGACGTATGTGGATGGCAAGCTGTACGTGGCCGTGAACCTCGGTGATTTCAACAACCCCAAGGGGAATGCCGACTCTTGGGTGTATGTCTACCAAGCCGACGATCTCTCGCTGCTTGCCAAACATGAAGTGCAGGAAGTCGTCTACGGAGCCGGAGGGATTGCCCACAACGCTGGGCGATTCATCGTCGTGGGTGGACTTCCCGACGGAACGGACGAAAATTACGTGTACGAGTACGATGGCGACTTCAACTTCCAGCGGCGACACGTCGTGCCCAGCGGTCATACGTACCTGGGAATCCAGTCTGCCGAGTATGCCGACGGACTCTGGTGGTTCGGCTGCTACGGTAAGCCGCAGCAGTTGGTCATCGCCGATGAAGCCTTCGGGGTGACCGGGCGATACGACTTTGATTGCAGTTATGGCATTGCGTCGATCGCACCTGGGAGGTTTCTCGTTACAACCGGACCCAATGTCTCGGGCAAGGGCCGTACCGGGGCCGTCCAGATTGCGGTTCCGGATGAATCCCAACGGTTAAAACGCCTGTCAAGTGAGTAGTTCTGTTTCCATCAGGACGTGGCGTTTGGACAGCACCCGTGTCGGCTCAAATGTGGGTGTGCGGATTCCGGTATTTATTGGGCTGAGCACGCTGAAGCCTTGACGGAACTTCCATCAAAGCGCAACGTTTGGTGGGGGTAGGGCTTGGGGCAAGGGCCCTCCGCCGGCCAATACTTGCTGGTATAATTGCACTGAATTACTCACATGACCCCGAGCAACGGGAGAACGTCGTGCCACGTAAAACGCATATAGACGCCATCCTACGCGACTGGCCTTATGAACCGGGTACAGTCAGTGCTCGACTTGTGCGCGCTCGTGACGGGCGGGACGTGGTCCAAATGCGAATCGAGATGGGCGTCGTTCAAATGGAAATGGACGGCCGCCCCGACGGCTCGCATCCCGAGGGGTGTGAAACCTACCTCGATCATCTCATCAGTATGGCAATCCACCGCGGCGAGCATTTCGAACTGACCGAAGAACAATGCGCCGAGGTTGATCGCGAGTTCATGCAGTACTACCACCGGCGAATCTGCTGGCTGGCACTCCGTGATTTCAAGCGTGCCGTGAAAGATGCCGACCACAGCCTGGCTTTGATGGATTTCGTTCGCGATCGTTCCCCCGACCGGCAGTGGACGCTGTCTCACGAGCAGTTCCGTCCATTCATCCTTTTCCATCGCACGCAGGGAGCCGCCATGGCTGCTCTCGACACCGATGGCGCCGAAGCCGCGATCGAAGCAGTAAATGGCGGTCTCGAGCGTATGCGCGAGTTCCTGGTGAACTTTGATGCCGAGGAGTCGTTCGACGACGATGAGATGGTGATGCGGTTACGCGAGATTCAAGACTCGCTCCGCGAAGAGTTCGGGGTCGAGCGGACTCTGAACGAGCGTCTGGCCGACGCTGTCGCCGAAGAGAAGTACGAACTCGCTGCCCAGTTGCGCGACGAGTTAGAACGCCGCGCCGAAGGGGCATGAGCCCTGGGACCTTAACGATTGCGGTAGCTGGTAAAGCTCATTCCGCTTAGAGCGGGGCTGGAGCGACCTCTCTTTCTTCGGGTTTTGCCGTGCTAGCAAACGTTAAGCTTTGTAAGAGTTTCTAGCGCACTGTACAAACCGTCACTCTTTTGGCATTGACTCCTACACGGCGATTCTTCCCGAAAACGTTTACTGCGAACGTTTTGAATCAAACGGGCGATTTTTCTCAGACTCTTGGCACGCCTCCTGCATTTAGGCTTCACCGTTCGGTACGGGGCGCATCGGTTACAAAGGAGTAGGCCATGCTAGTGCTCACTAGGAAAGCTCAACAAACGATTCGGGTCGGTGAGAATGTCACCATCACCATCCTTCGCGTTAAGGGACAATCGGTTCGGGTTGGCATCGAAGCGCCTCGCGACGTTCACGTCGTGCGTGGAGAATTGCCACCGAAGGATATGGTAGAAGTCGATCTCGATGCCGATACTCTCGACACGATCGAAGTCACCACGACACCGGCGGTGAGCACCAAAACCGTTCGGCAGGACCGCGCCGCGGAAACCCCCAAGGGTCCGCAAGCAGGCCAGAACGCTCGTACGAAGTCCAAGCCGGATCGGCAAGCGGTGCCAGTTTCGCATCGAGGACTGAAATCGCAGGTCAGTGCCCGTCGGGTTCGGGCGGTGATGCGCCTGAATGGCGAACCCATCGATGACTTGCGGCGGCAGACCTTGCCTCCCCTGCGTTCAACTTTGGGGTACCATTAAGTCAGCTCGGGGATAGGTACGGACGAGGCACTCATCAAGCATCTCTTCTCGGGTGACCCTTTCAGTTGTGTTCAGTTGTGGAACCGCCAAAAGCAGGTCACGCTAAAAACGTCTCTTCTCAGTGATTTCGCGGCAGAAAACTGGTCACAGGGCACCCAGGCAGACATACTGGGTGCACGGTGCGGGATGCCTTGCCCGAGAAATCACTTACGCCTAAGGGAGAAGATACGCATGCTTGGTGTTCGCAGGGGGCGAAGTCGTTGGTTGGTACTGGGACTGATGGTTGCCTTGGCGACGGTTCCGTCGCTCACCGCCCACGCCGAATCTGGAGATCCCACGCTGTTGATCTTCGATACCGACATAGGGAACGACATCGACGACGCCCTGGCGCTAAGCGTCATTCATGCTCTTGAGAATCGCGATGAATGCCGGCTGCTGGCTGTGACCATCACTAAGGATCACCCAGACTGCGCGGCGTTCGTCGACCTGGTAAACACCTTCTACGGGCGGGGCAATATCCCTGTTGGAGTCGTGCGTGACGGCAAGACACCCAAGGAGAGCCGTTTCGTCAGCGAGACGGTTGCCGCAACCGACGGGGGCGAGCCACGGTATCCACACGACTTGAAGAGTGGCGAAGATGCACCCGAGGCCGTAAGCCTGTTGCGGAAAGTTCTGGCCGAGTCGCCCGACGACTCGGTGGTGATGGTGGTGGTTGGTTTTTCCACGAACATCGCCCGACTTTTGGATTCAAAGCCTGATGAGTACTCCGATCTCTCGGGCGAAGAACTCGTCCGCCGCAAGGTCCGCCTGCTGTCAATCATGGCCGGCACATTCGGTGGCGATCGGATCGACCACAAAGAATACAACGTTCACGTCGACCTGCCCGCAGCCCAAAAGATTTACGAGCGATGGCCCACACCCATTGTGGCCAGCGGTTGGGAAATCGGGATGGCGATTCAGTACCCCTCGGTAAGCATCGAGGAAGACTACAACTACGTCGATCATCATCCCGTGGCCGAGGCCTATACGAAGTACCAGAAGATGCCGTACGATCGTGCTACGTGGGATCTCACCTCGGTGTTGTACGCCGTTCGTCCCGAGCGAGGTTACTTTGGGCTATCAGAGCCGGGCACCATTCACGTAGGCGAAGACGCCCTGAGCAAGTTCGAAGAAGACCCTCAGGGAAAGCACCGGTTTGTTACCGTCAACGATGAACAGATCGCGCGAGTGCTCGAAGCCCTGATTCAACTCGCATCAGAGCCGCCGAAGGCTAGCAATTAGTAAGCGCGCTGCGGAACGGTTTGCATCGGAGGGGGCTCAAAGTCGGGTCGGGCGGGGGCAGTAACAGCTGTTGGTTGGCTCGCAAATCGCCATGGGCTCTCAGGTTGTCGGCCATCGACGAACCGCAGATGTTCGAGTAACACGCGTCGAACCTCCAAAACTGCTCGGGGGTTCTGGTGCACGGTGGCGTGTGAAGCATTCACGATCAGTTCCGACTCGATGTTGTTCGGGTGCGCGCTCGCGTAGGACACGACTCCGTCACCGCCTTCAATCAGCGGTACAGGTTGTCCTTCGTATTCAAGCACACCCACGATGTTGTGGTGCTTCACCCACGGGGGAAGCGGGTTTTCCAGCAGCACGGGCAGCAGGGGCGACTCGGGCGAGAGAGAATCGAGGCTTGTCTTGGTCTTATGGAACGAGGCATCTCGGAATAACCCTGGATTGTCAACCAGCAGCTTCTCGCGACCGCTAACCATCATCTCCGGCAAGGTGATTAGCTTCCGCCCCAGCCATTGCGTTGCCGAATTCGCAAAGCGGCTGCCGCGGTGCGGAGTGGCGATGGTAATCAAGCGTCGCACCGATGGGTTGGCATCGAAGAAGAACGTCGATTCCAGCGAATCGCGAACTTCTTTTTCCGCTTTCACGAGCTGAAACGGTTCGGTGGCCACGGCATCCCAGTATTGGTTTCCGCTGGAAACGATCTGCAATTTGGAGACGAGTCCGCCCATGCTGTGGCCGACGAGAACCATCTGGTCGAGCGCCGGAGTGGTTGCCTGGGGATCGAACGTTTTCCGCATCTCGGCCAGGTCTTGGCGGAACTGGCCTGCACTAATCCAGAACGGCTGCCCTGTGGGATACATGTAGAACCAGAACTGGTACCGCTCGCGGAGTTCTGGTGAGCCCAACAGGTCGTTAAACATTTCCATCCAAGTCAGCGGACTCGACCATAGTCCGTGAACCATGATGACCGGAATCTTGTGCGGCTCGTAAGGTTGCAGCATGTACAAGCCCGCGAGCTCTTCGGTTAAGTCGGGCCGCAACAACCCTGCCGTGGCAGCCGCTTCGAGATGCGACTGATTCAGAAAGTAAGCCAGCGGGGTGCTGAGGTCGCTTTCCAGTGGAACGCGGATGTTTCCGACCATGATGTCGGTTGAAGTCAGCGGGTCGTAGAACTCAAGCACCACCTTGTGCCGGGAGACCGAGCCGTCTTCAGGCAGTGGTTTCGATGGCATCACTCTTAAGAATGCCGTGGCGGGAAATGTTAGCCCCGGAGGGTAGTATTTCTCGTCGACGGAGGCGTTCTCATGTTGCTTTCGTTTCACAACCAGAGGTACGCCTAGTCCGAAGCTCTCGTAAGTGTTGGTTAACCCCTGCACCTGGTAGTCGGAGACAAATTCGAATTCGCCGAAGTCTTCGTCGTGCCAGTGGGTGCCGCGAGACACCACGGTTACGTCGCAGATGTTGTTGGCCGTTTCAACCCGGTGGTTGTTCCCCGGCTGCAAGGCGTTGTGCTTAACCAGCAGCCGCATACTCTCTTCCAGGGCGCCGTTGTAAAGGTCGCAAGCACCGCGGAACTGGGGATCGTATGGGTTGCGAATTCGTCCGAAGCGATGGTCGAACAAGTAGATGTATGCGTGCGCGACAGCAGTTTCGAAATACTCCAGCGCTGCCTGCTCGTCATGCCCATTGAGTTCCTTGCCCCGTATGAAGCTCAGCTCGGCAAAGGCGTGGAACTTATCGGCCGTGGGTTCTTCGGCGACCACGTGTTGCAGTTCGACCATCGCCGAATCGGGGTCGTCGCGAAACTGGGCGAGTAAATCGTATCGCCGCAGTAGTTGCAGCGTACGGGCACTCGGCTCCGGGCCACTCCGCGAGTTAAGTTTGAGCTGGTCGACCAGGGGATTGCGAGGGGTTTCGCGAACAGTGACATACTCGGTGCTTGCGCAACCAATGGTGACCACCAGCAGTAGTGCCAGCAATACTGCGCAGCACAGCGTTGGCTGTCCCGGGGCAACAGGGCGAACCCTTAAATCGCCGGGCAACCGAGGTGAATCGGAGAACGGTGCGTACAGCTCGCGCATCGAATGCCGTGAGACTGTGTAAGATGGGAGACTGAGATTAGATCCACGCCGTGACGATGCGCAGATTGCCTCACTAATAGGGTTGAAGAGGCATCGACGTCAATGTCGGTTTCCCGCTTGCAATACACCCCAGCTACAGCGAGTCGTTGCCAGCATGATGCAGATTTCTTGTTCGACGTCGGTATCTGCCAGCATCGTTGATGACGTGGCCTCGATCGAAGAGTCACTTCGCTGCGCTCGATCTGCTGGCATCTCCACGATTGCGTTGGACGCCTCATGCTTGCCGATCGAGAGAACTTCGTCCGGGCAGGCATCAGCAGACGAAGATCTGTTTCAGCTAGCCACTGCCTGGCATCGCGCGGCGGCAGAACTGTCGGTCGAGGTTTCACAGGTTGTTTCCAGTGTGATTGACCTGACGGGTGTCGGGGCCGCTGAGGCGGGGCTCCGATGGATCGAATTTGCCAACTCGTTGGGGGTGAAGTCGGTCATGCTCCCCTTGGTTGGGGCTCAAGTAGACCGGGTCGATCCAACAGCAGCAGGATGCCTGCATGCCTGGGGAGAGCGTGCTGGTGCGACCGGGAGCATTGTGTCGTTGGGCACAGCGTCTTCGGTAGTGCCTGACACGCGTGCAATGGCCCAACTGATGAACGCCACTCGGGCTTCTTCCTTGCGGCTGGACTTCGATACCGGGCGGTATCAGCAATGGAACCCTCACCGTAGTGGTGAGATTGCGCTACAACGCATCGCCGGATGGCTTGGCTCTCTGCGGCTGCGAGAAGCTACCGGAACGCCTGGCGAGTTCGACTCGCCCCCGCTCGGCACCGGCGGTGCCGTCGACTTCGCCCGTACTTGCGAGATCATCAAAGCACTGAAGCTTCGTGGACCCGTCATCATCGAAGTCGATCCACCCACCGGGCGTAAGGCACTGCGTTCAATCGAATCCGACTTGAGTGACAGTTTACAGCATCTCAGAGATTGCGGCTGGTTTGGGTGAGCCGGACCGATATAGCGGACGAATAATACTCCAGAAGCCTGTTTCGCTGCGAATTATTGACGCTTGGGTTTCTTCTTTTGACCCAAGCGGCGGTGGAGCATTTCGACTTCCTCTGCCATTGTTGGTTGCAGCTCTGCGAGACGAGAGGGAATGTCCATGCTTGAATGGATCACAGTTAGCACCACGGTCGACCGCGGTTGGGCGTCGCCAATGAAGAGATGTTTGTGAACGCGGTAGAATTTCAGCGAGGCAGGGAGATCGGTGCCAGCTTGCAGCAAACCTGGGTTTTCTTTTATTCGTGCTAGCCCGGTCTCAATCTCGTCGAGATATTTCTCTGCAATCTCTTTGCCCCACCGTTCAAGAGAGTAGTTGAATATTTGCTGGATGTTCCGCAATGCGACTTGCGGTAAGGCAATCTGGTGGGAACTTTTCGGCTCACTTCCCAGCCTTCTTCAACAGGCTCCGCAAATCGCCATCAAAGGCTACTGTGCGACCTGCGATTGCATCTTCATAACCCTCGATAATCGCATTGCGAACCTGGGCTGCTTCCGTTTGAATCTTTTTCTGTCGCAATAGATCTCGAACGAATTCGCTAGGCGTGGCATACAACGTGCCATCACCACAACTCTCTTCGATGAACGCCCGCAACTCATCGGTCAGCGAAAGATTGAGCGTGCTACCCATATTCTATCCTTCTATCGAAATGATAGGTTGAGCCAGAAATGTTTGTCAATATTTGTCATAGTGGCCATGTGTCGTGAACCTTAGCGTAGCGGGCTCGCTCATTCACTCTGAGGCCGATGCCCATACCGTTCTCTTCCGAAAGCCATCGATGCTCACCGAAATTCGCACTCCTCGGTTCACCCTGCGTCGTCCTTCGCTCGCCGATGCAGAGTCCATCTATCAAGCGGTCATGGAATCGCAAGCGCAGCTCATCCCTTGGATGCACTGGTGTCACGCGGGGTATCGTTTGAAGGAGACGAAGGGGTGGATTCAACATGCGGTTGAAGCTTGGGACTCGGGCCAGGAATATGCCTATACAATCATCGATCCATCGGACGATCAGGTAGTGTTAGGAGGTACTGGGCTGGCTCAAGTTTACGCAGGCCAGCGTCGGGCGGAATTGGGGTATTGGATTCGTACCTCCCACACCGGAATGGGATTGGCCACGGCGGTAGCCAAGGAGGTTGCTCGCCATGCCTTCGAAGAGCTTGGACTTGTTCGGATTGAGATATTGGCGGTCGTAGGCAATACGGCCAGTTGCCGAGTTGCGGAGAAGACCGGTGCCCAACACGAGGGAGTGCTGCGCCGCCGCGTCATCCATCGCGATGAAGTGCGAGATGCCAATAGCTTCTCACTGCTGCGCGAAGATCTTCTCTAAAGCGGGTTGGCTAACGGCCGGTTTCAGCGTGGGCAGTTGGGACTTAGAATAAGGGTTCGTACCACCGGTTCGTCGGTTCCCTCTCATCACCTCCCTGCAGCCCCTTTTTTGCACCATGGGCCATAGCGTGTTGGCAATTGACGGTGGACCCGCTGTGCTGCCAGATGGTCCGCCGGGCTGGCCCCCACCCGATAGGTCGATCCGCGAGGCACTCCTGGCTGCCGCAGAGGATGGTTCTTGGGGGCGATATCATGGGCCGCATTGCACCCGACTTACTGAGCAGGTCGCCCATTTGCACAACAGCGAGCACGTCATGCTATGTTGCTCGGGGACGGTGGGGGTTGAGCTTGCGTTGCGGGGTTTGGGTGTGGGGCCGGGAGACGAAGTCTTGCTGGCCGGCTACGATTTCGGCGGCAACTTCGCTGCGATTCTCGCGGTGGGGGCGACACCTGTGCTCGTGGATGTGGCGGCTGAAAATTGGCAGTTCGATCCGGGTTCGATTGAAGCTGCAGTAGGCCCTGAGACGAAGGCGGTGATCGTTTCG